TCCGGGCCCGACGGCTCGCTGGAGGGCTCGAGCAGCCCGACGTCAAGCTTCCCGTCCAAGTCGACGACGTCGTCGGACGCGGCCCGGTCGGAGCAGCACGGCTCGCAGGAGCAGCCGCCGGGGGCGTCCATGAGGGATCTGCAGGAGGCGCTGGGGCAGAAGGGGGGGGGAGGGGGCAGCAGCGAGGACAGGAAGTCGAGCGAGGGGGGGGAGCCCAAGGACCCTTTCTCCGACTCGGGGTCGAGCGCGAGCTGTCCGTCGGCGTCCTCGGCGGGGGAGAAGAGCAGAGCGCTGGAGCAGCAGGAGGATGAAGATGAGGGGAGGGATGCGATGTCAGATGAGACAGAAGACACGTGGCCTGGGGAGAGGAAGCACGGACGCGAGAGCACGTCCAAGACGTCCAGCGGGGGGGAAGTCAGGGCGGTGATTGACCGCCGAACAGCAGGGGAGATAGCATCGCTGCTGCACCAGATGATGGAGCAGCAGGAGCAGATCATGGCGCAGCAGCGGCAGATCCTAGAGAGGGGTATCCAGCCCGGAGTGGAAGGAATGATTGGAGCGGTGCTCATGACTTTTTGCGAGCTGATTGCCAAGATGGAGGCATGGGGCGAAGGGCTGGAGTTGGTGGAGGAAGCAGAAGCAGAAGCCAAAGCTCACGGAAAGGGACGCCACCTTGGGGCGATGGCAGCAGTAGTGTCGCAATGAAGGCCTGTATGGACAGCGAACTGAAGAGTTTCTTTTCAAGGACACTACCTTGAACCTCATAGACAGTGGGCTTGAAGGCAGTGAAGTAGTTTGCTATGAAACGTGAGCAATCAGCCTCGCGGCATGATTAAATAGGTTGAAGAGCCTGAAGCACGTGCTGTACATTTCATTCATCTCACAGACAGGCCCTAGTGTTTCGGTTGAGAGCTGTTGATCATACCCGCAAGCATCGACAAGATTTGAGCATGCAAGCGTTGCAGCAGCAGGTACTCCTGGTTGCTTCCTCCTGTGACGTTGCTCTGCTGCCAAAACAACGGAGGACTTACCACCACCCCTCCTGTCGCCTGCCACCCCTGATGCCCTGCCTGCCCTCCGACCTCCGTACCATGCCACTGGGCAGTGGGAGCACTGCTGCTCCCCTGCCCCCCTCCTCCATACCTCTGTACACAAGCCTGAGCCCCTCCAAAAGATGCCTCAACACCCCCTCCCTGCCCCGGCGACCTCGACTGGTATCCCCCAAGCCCTCGGGACATCAACCCCCTGCAGCCCCTGCAGCCCCTGGCTCCAAGCCTCTCTCCCCGCCATGAGCTGACCAGCTGCGCTCAAGCCTGCCCAGCTCGCTCCCCCGCCTCCTACTACTGCACCTCCCCCGCGAGGCTTCATCCAGCTGGCTCCTCCGCGTGTCCATCCCCAGACAATGTTGCGTCCTCTGAGCTCCCGACAATGAGCTCC